AATCTAGCGACCAGGAAGCATGCCAACACAGGCAATAAGACTTATCCTATGAGATGAAACAGAAAAAACGAACAAAAACATGAAGTCCTCAAAATTCCTACCTCAATAAATGCAGGGCCAAACAGATCTGGTTCAGTATGGGGGATATATATCTTGTATAACTGATGGTCAAGACTACAACCATTATTCCCTCCAGTCTCACTATAAGAAAGTGGAATGCAATAATCACAAGTCAAATACTTCCCAGCAAAAGATACAAGAAACCTGCCATCAGAATAGAAATACATTAAACAGTTAAAGAAGAGTATTAGTAATATCAAAGAGTAAAAGAGGAATCACATCATATGCAAAGGCTGCAATGAGCTGAGACGTTCTTTTGGTTAGAACATGGTATCCATTCATATTTGTTCCTTTAGAAGATGAATTGAGCTTGAGCTAATTTTAAAGCTCATTTTGTGAACACAAGCATTTAAAAGTAGAGTGTTTTGAGAACAACATTACAGTTTCCTCTCTTGCTCAACTACTCTCTCTCCCCCTCTCTCTCCCTATATGTATCTCTCTCTCTCTCTCTCTCTCTCTCTCTCTCTCTCTCTCTCTATATATATATATATATATATATATATATATATCTCACACACACATACATATGTCTTTGCTTTCTAAAGTTGGAAGCTGACTAAGATTTTGAGCCATTTTTTGTAGATTTTTTTTTTACTTTTTACATGCCAGGGATCAGAGAGTTCAGTATGTTATTTTTGTTGGATTTTCTTTCAACTCTACTAAATCTAGGACTCTCTGAGCAATCTAAACATATGAAATCTGATCATCAATTAGATTTTGCTCACTCTTGTGATCTGTATTCCATGTTTCAGTTTTTGCAATGACTTCACTTGCTGGTCTGATGCTAATTGAAACCCACAAAGCTTGGTTTATTTTGATGAAAAAACAGTTGTCAACATTTTCCTAAAATATTTTTCATCAGAAGTACTGAAAAGATTTTCCAAAATATTTTTCATCAGAAAGTTCTGAAGAGATTTCCCATTAAACAAATTGAGTAAAAGAGTTTCTAACATTTTCCGTGAACATGAACCGAGAAGGAAATTAATAACTGAAATAGATGATTGTGAAGGCTTTTGAAATCTTTTTATTCACACATTAGGTTTAAATTCATGTTTCAGAGAATATCCTCCGTCATTTTCGTCCTCTCTTTTTTCCTTTTATATTTTGATAATTTTTTTATTTTTTATTTTAAAAAATTCATCTTATTATGTTATATTGTTGCAACTGAATCTCCTTGGTGTGTAATCTACAGTGGTTTTATTAGTTTAGTTCTAGACATCTATTGTTCTATTATCACCTTTTTTATAAAAGCAGAAAGAAACTTCACCCAATTTATGTTCCTGCTAGGTGCAGGTTAATTAAATTACTGATTTTAAGACTGTTGCATCTCATTTTTATTACTAACTTCCTCAATGCAAATACCTGCTTTCAACTATAAGGCACTACAAATGTAGAGGAAACTAACATCGTGTAAATCTGTGATTACCTGTGGTTTTCATAAATTTCATTCACAATTCATCTCCTTTTTATTTTAGTGGCAAATTGGTTTCTCATAGGATATTGTTCATTTATGTCATTTTTTAAAAAAAATTTATGAAATTGAATTTTCTATGCTCTAAAGAAAGCAGGATTCCAGATAAATACTGAATATGTTTTTTTTTTATTTGTTATTTTATAAGTAAAGACTACTGAATACGATTGTGATTCCTCGACAGTGATGTAGCTAATAATACTGTCATGACTAATTTCATTAATTTGGCATCTCTTATTGGGGTTTTATTTTTTTGAAAAGCCTAATTTGGAGTTTTTATTAAGTATGACGTTTCATTGTTTTCTTATTATAATATAGATTTGAGGGGAAGAGAGTTCATCAGGTCCACAAATGGCTACTAATAATGGAAATGCAAGAGAAACAGATTATATTGGAAAACCCATTTAAAACAAAGATACATATATTGTTTAGAAGAATTTTGAAGAAATACATCTTCTCAAAGGCACAAAAAAGGCGAAATGCAGCTTTTGTAAGACATGACTTGCCTTGGGCCAAAGTCACACAACTCAACATTCTTAAGCATTTGAGAATTTTAATACGCGTTTGGAAAGTGAGACATTCAAATTCAAGTATGTCCATTCAAAGTTAGGAAAGACTTTGCATATATCATACTAGTACATGACAATCCGTTTACAATGATGGACCATGAGTTTTTTTTAATTTCTTTCCAAAGACTGCCTCTTTACATCAAGGCGCCAGGCTCTTGGAGCCTAAAGCACAAATGCAACACCAGACACAAGCCTAAGCAAATTAAATCATGAGTAATTCAAATGCACATTAAATACATCAGTAGTTGAAATTTTAAAATATGCAACACAAATTTTGCATAATTCTTGCATTGACAAAACTCCCTTATCTACAAAAGAAAAGGAATATTGTATTTGACTATATTATTCTCATTCAATTAAGATAAAGATATTTTTAAATTTTTTTTTAATTATTATTGACGTAAACAGGTTGCAAGGTAATCCAATATTCTTTCCATTTGACTACGAGCTGATCTCAAGCTTGATTTAAGATAGGTCTGACAGCGTAAAACATAAGCTCGAGCTTAGCTAGTGTAATTAATGCATGCATTTGGCCAAGCAGAATTAACAAAAATTAACGAGCACGATACACTGGATTTCTCATGCTTGCGAGTCTTTTTTTTTTTTTCTTTTTTCTTTTTTTGATAAGTAAAGATTGTATAAAGAAGCATTCAAAAGGAGAAAGCATCCCTCAGAAAATACACAAGGCCTAATAGGGCCTCTAAACTCTTAGAGAGTCCAAAAAATCAACCATCTCCTTCATGGATTTACAATATCTCCCTAGAACCCAACAAAAAAGAGTGCTAATAATATAGAAATTCAACTCCCCCATAGGAGTCTCCATTCCTTCGAAGGACCTCCGTTTCTTTCAAGCCATAAACACCAGCACATGCAAAGAGGCGTAACCCTCCAAAAATCATGGACTTGGGCCCCCACTATACAACCTCGCCAAGCCTCAATCAAATTTATGGGGGATATGGGCATAACCCACTGAACCCCAAACAAACTCAACAGTAAGACCCAGCAATCCCAAGCCACAGGGCAATGCAAAAGAAGGTGATCAACCGTTTCTCCATCTCTTTTACACATGTAACACCAATTGACCACTACCTATCTTCTCCTCCTTAAGTTATCCGGGTTCAAATCTTCCCTAACACCGAAGTCCACGCAAAAAAAAAAAAAAATCCCCACTTTGAGAAGGGCCTTGGATCTCCAAATAGCCTTTCATGGGAAAGACTCCCCACGGACTTATGTAATGCACCTGTAGAAAGACCGAACAGTCGAACACCAAAACAGCCTTGGGGAGAAGGAACCCACACCCATGAGTCAGAAAAACTCTTGTCTGCACACCATTTCCAAAAGACCAATGGCATCCTCGATCTCCCAATCCTGAAAGTGCCTCAAGAAACATATGTCCCAAATAGTTCTCCCACTATCAAGACAATAGCATCCGGTACAAAATCGTGTCTGTCCATAGCAATCCTAACGAGCTTGGGAAAAGTGATGGCAAGAGAGCAATCGCCATGCCAAATATCCTCTCAAAAGCGGATCCTCCTCCCATCCCCCACTCGAAATCTAATGTGTTTTGAGAATTCATCCCAGTCTTTCCGAATGGACTTCCAAATCCCAAGCACCGTAAAGGATTCTCACCTCCCTTGAACACCAACTACCTCTGTCCTCCCCAAATCTGCTCACAACCACCCTTCTCCAAAGTCTAGGACTCTCCACCCCAAATCTCCACAGCCACTTGCCCAAAAGAGCCTTGTTAAAAGGTACCAGTCTTCTAATACCCAGATCTCACAAACGAATTGGACTATGAACCAGATCTCATGCCACCCTCATGATTGCGAGTCTTATTTGAGCAACTCTGAAAAATGACTAAGCAGAGCTCAAACAATGTAGAGGTTGCTCGTTTGCAACCCTATAAATCTGTAAAATGACCTGAATGCAAGTTCTCTGAGTATTTATGAATAATATAACCACTAAAAAAAATAGTGTGGTAACAAAAATGAAGGGAGGGAAGGGACATCACACAGTTCTAGACTTCTAGTCCCGCTACAGCAGGGCCCTGGGTAGGGGTGCACACAGTTTGGTTTGGTTCAATTTAGAGGGTGAACTAGAACCAAACCGATCCCAGCGGTTCCAACAAAAATGGAACTAAAATGAACCAATGAAACCACCTAATCCGAACCAATGCAACCCGTATGAGAAGGGTTTTGATTGGTTCTGTTTCACCCCATAAAAGCATAGTTTAATAATAATTACATTAACTTGAATCAAACCTTACTCAAACTGAACATTTATCACAGATATAATCATCTTCTACTTCCTAGTCGGGAGTGTATTTCTAATTTCTAAATTCTACCAATAACATATTCTACTAATAACATACATGACCATGCAAGAAAGAACTAGAATATTATTTCATTAATATGTTTACGTAAATGGGAATGGGGGTCAATATTATATAAGAAATATATATATATATATATATATATATGACTGAATGTGTGACAGAACAGATTAATAAAAAGAAATAGACATATGCATAAGTCTTATGGTTCGGTTCAGATTGGTTCGGTCCTTGAAACCTCTAAACCATGAACCACACCAAGCCTAATGGTCTAAGAAGCACGGACACGGATACGGGACACGGATACAACACGACACGGACACGGCGACACGGCAAATCCAAAAAAATTAGGACACGGACACGGCGAATAGTGTATATATATATATATATATATATATATATATATATATGATGTAGTACTTTAAAAATTACCGAGTGTTACTATTTTTCATCAACCTCACAATGGAAAATATATACAAATCATAACTTATAACTAATAAATTATAAAAGAACAATGTTGCAAAGTTATAAAACCAAATAAAAAACAAGATATTAGAATAATAACTAGTATCATTTAATCATCATTGCAACTTTACTCCAAATACAAAAGCATAGACTGAAAGGACTATTAACATTCATGATTGTTTAACATTCAGGACTGTACTGTTAGCACTTAACATTCACAAAAACCTAAAGGCTAGTCCCAAAAAAGATACAAAAACAAGTCAGTGTACTATCATCTATTCCCATCCATCATTTGACCTAGGACTTTACCATTTACAATACCAAAAGGGTAGTCCAAAACAAAAAAAAAAAAGAACATATCAGCATTCATCTATTGTTGTTCATCATCAATTGTCTCATGAATCTCATCATCATTAACACTTCCATCATCGGTAAATAATACCGCCTCTAATTCTGGCTCATCAAGTGAGAGGTTTGCAACCTCAAGCACCCCAACATCACCAAATGAATCAAATGCATCTCCTGCAATATCCCACATCTTAGTTCGTCCTTCATTGTACTGTGGGGTTCTCCTTGACAGAAGACGGAGATTACTATGAATGAAAACCAAATCTTCAGCCCATTGTGGCGCCATCTTGTTCCTTCTCAATGAGTGAATAAAAGAATAAGTACTCCAGTTCCTCTCACAACATGAGGAGGAAGAAGGCTGGACAAGCAACTTCAAAGCTAACTCTTAAAGCAAGGGACCATATGAACCATGTACAACCCACCAACTTTTAGGATCCATTGTATATCTATCACATATAGAATCACTCTCCCCAAATTCCCCCGAGTTTGATGAAAAATTAGCATACTCCAATTGGACTTTTGAACGCTCTTGTGGGTCACTAAAGTATTTTTTAAGGCACCTTGTTCTCTCTCTTGAGACCTCTAAATCCTTGTGTGGTGGAACTCGACTTTGGTCTTCACTAAGCCACACATCACTATAGTACCTACAATAAATAAGAGAATGCATTTAATTCATAATTTAATTTCCTTAATTCTAAACTAAGATTAAAACTTCTTTAGCTTACAAATTAATATCTAATGATTTACCTTGGATTTAGTGAATGTGCCAAGCAATGAAGCGGAGTATTGTTCTTGTTCCAACGAGCTACAAGTATCCCATGCACCACTTCATAAAAGGAAGAACTTTCACTTTGTCGCTTTCTTTCATACCTATATATTGCCATCTTCACTTTTTCAATCATTGTATCCCACATATCATAAACTAAGTGAAGACAAGGCTTATCGGTATCACAAGCCCTTAGCATGTCATAAATAGGTGAAGTAAAGGAAAGGATATAATCAATCTTTCCCCACCATTGTTCATCCAACAGCTTCTCTCTCACATAATCGGCCTTTCCTACATCATCCTCCTTATAGCAAGTCCACTTGTCACTTGTGACCATTGCTTGGAGACCACCTTTTATAAGTTTAAATCTTTTCATCATCACAATAACAGAAGCAAAGCGTGTCTCTGCAACTGAAAGCAACTTCAAGCTGACAAACTCATTGAAAATAGCTAATCTCATTGAATGGTTCATGATGAAATTCTTTATTATTGTAACCTCATCAGCATAATCAAGAATCCAACCACACTCTGCATATGCAATTTCATTCTTTTCCACATTTTTTGCAGCACAAATATTTTTGAGGGCAAGATTAAGAGTATGGACCACACAAGGTGTCCAAACAATGTGAGGGAATTGCCCTTCAATTAGTTGTCCAGCAGCCTTGCAATTTGGGGCATTGTCTGTAATTACTTGGATCACATTTTGGGGGCCAACCTCATTTATGACTTCCTTCAACAAATTGGAAATGAAAAACTTGTCTTTAATTCCACCGGAACAATCAACAGCTTTCAAAAACATGGGACCTCCTTCTGTCATAGCCATAAAATTAATTAAAGGCCGCCTTTGTGGATCACTCCAACCATCACTTGCAATGCTAACACCCTTTGCCTTCCATGTACTCCTAATTGGTTGCAATAATCTATCAATATTTGCCTTTTCTTTTTGAAGTAGAGTGGTTCTCAATAGATTATAACCCGGAGGCAAATAACCTGACAGAGGATTATTTGCAGCATAGTTGTATGAACTCACATAATACGGGTTTCTTGCTAGATGAAACGGCAATCCTGCGGAATAAAACATCCTAGCAATCTCTGAGTGCAATTGTTCCCGAGCCTCATTATTAAATGCCTTCCCAATGGCACCCCCACTTGCCTTTCTTTTCTTTGGTACATAAGCCTCCTGAGTGAGACTAGTAGTACCACCCAATGATGCACTAGACGGCGGCAAAGGAACTTTTTTTGGTTTAGAATTTTTAATTCTCAATTCGGCTTCTTCAATTGCTTTTTGCATTTCTGCAATATTCTGATATGTGACTTTTGGACATATACGAATACCATACCAGTGTTCTGCAACAAGTGGGCTTTAACTCTTGTATAAGACCCCCTGAATTCGTTATTACAAAAGTGGCATTTGAATAAAAAATTTCCTCCTCCACCGCCAATTTTTTCTAATTGTGTGACATAGTTCCAAAGTGGTTTGTTATCATCTTGTTCGAATTGAGGAGTACAACTAGCAACTGATGTAGACAATGACATGTCTAATTCCCTAGACAAAGAAAAGAAAAAAAATCCATACTTACAGCAGTCAGCAAAGAAAGAACAGTAAGCAAAGAAAAAATAAATTCCTATTTGCTACAGATTCATAAGTCATATGCAATAACTGAAATTAAATCAAAGATGAAATCCAATTCATTTACAGGTCAATAAGTCACGACTCACACAAGCTAAAATTTAAAGCAAGAATAAAGACAACAGAGAAGAAAAAGAAGAAAAAGCGGAAGAAAGAAATTAGGAGAGAAATTAAGGTCTGTAAAAAAGGAAAAATACCAGAAAAGAAGAAGACGGGTTTGTGAACTGGGGTTAGTGGAGGGGGGGGGGGGGGGGGGAGGAGAGAGAGAAAAGAAAAAGAAAGAATTTGGGGTTTTGAAAAAGGAAAACAAAAAACAAAAAATAAAAAATAGATGAAGAAGAAAGAAACTAGGGTTAGTGAAAAACGGGGGAAAAAAAAAACAAAGGAGAGAGAAAAGAAAAAGAAAGAAACTGGGGTTTTGAAAAAGGAAAACGCAAAAAAAAACAAAAAAAAAAAAATAGATGAAGAAGAAAGAAAGAATCTGGGTTTGTGAAAAAGGAAAAAGAAAAAAAAAAAATGAAGAAGAAAGAAAGAAACTAGGGTTTGTGAAGAAAAAGAAAGAAAAGAGGAAGGAGGAGGAAGAAAAGAGAGGAGAGAGAGAGAGAAAGAGAGAGAGAGACTGACCTGGAGGCTGGAAGGAGTCGCTTTGATCTGCAGCAGGAAGTTGCAGAGCTTCGTCGTCAGTTTGAGAGAGCACAACCCCCGTCCTTTGAATCTGATCTTGTAATAGTGTAATGACTGCCTTAAATATCTATCTCTTTTGTTTAAAATTACATATTAACCTTGAAAGTTTAAAATTATTATGTTCTGACCACATAAGTAAGTAAATAACTTTATATATTTGTACTTTAACCCAACTTTCTTTTAAAAATTATCTTATAAACCCCCAAAAATAAGACACGCGTGTCGGACACACACCCTGGCGTGTCGGACACGTGTCCGTGCCGTGTCCAATCCGTGTCCGAAAATTTTAAAAAAATAAAAAATTCCAGACATGCTTTTTGCCGTGTCCGACACGTGTCGGGCCGTGTCCGACGCGTGTCCGTGTCCGACACGTGTCCGACACGGATTCTTTGCCTATTTCGGAGTGTCCGTGCTTCCTAGCTAATGGTTCTACTATTTTGGAAATGTAACTGAAGCCATACGGTTTGAATTAGTTTGGATTGGATTAACAGTAACAGTTTGCATGGTTTCATCGACACCCCTAGTCCTGGGAAGGAGGATTCAAGACAAACATAATCTTTGATATATCACAAAGCAGCTACTCTCAGGCTTGAACTTGCACCAACAGCACTAATGTTCAAGCATTAAACGGTTCAACCAGGCAACGGCCCTCCAATGAAAGATATAACCAAATGAAATTAAAAATCAGCTAAACTTAGATATCTTTGAAATATGAAAGATATTGCTCCCGGCCTAATGATACTCCACTAGTAGTTTGGCAAAAATATCAACAAGTATCCTGGAAGTATGTTGCAATTTGATTGCACCTTAGAATCGCCTTCTACAAGTAACTAAGGTGAGGCAATTAAGGTTATGAATACATCTCAACACAATAGAGGCTCATCATAAGTATTTTTCTTTTTCTTTTTTTTGATAAGTAATAATTCATTAAAAAAGCGTTCAAAAGGGGAACGCGTCCCTCAAAAACAACACAAGGCCAAATAGGGCCTTTAAATCCTCAACAAATCTAAAAACTCTACAAGCTCATCATAAGTATTTAGAAGATGATACAACTCATTTTGTCATTCTACTCTATCCACAACTAATAACTCATGAAGTACCACGTCCTTTCTCACCACCTACACCTGGAAACCATTTAGCACCCCTTGTCCTTGTAGAACCTTCAACCTAAAGCACATTACATCCATTTAGTGCAATTGTGGGTCGTCACTACATAGGACCAAGCTTCCAACTGTCCCTTAATCTGTAGTGATGCTACACCAAAATTGGAACAAATGCATTTGTCCATCATTTTCAGCTATGCCTTTTTTTTGCCTAAATAATGACTCAACTTGAGAAAGGCATATTCCATCAATTTGGGAGAAAATTCCTCTTTTTTTCATTTCTTCTGTTTGCAATTAGACTCTCCCTAAGGTTATACTTCAGTTCAATCATACTTACCAAAGGAAAAATACTTAAGAGTAAATCATAGGATTTTCATATCTTCCATTACTTATATATCTACGACTTGCTTCTGGAACCATCCCATTGTCCTTGAGCACCTTTAAGATCACCATATCATTCCTTACCTATGGCATGACTGACATTTGCTGCAATCGAACGACCCAGTTGTAACCTTAACACGTTCACAGTTGTTATGCCTAACTTTTCATGAATACATCACCTCTATCTTTCCTTGTTTTCTCACCCAGAAGTTCTCCATTGTCATTTCAGTCACACGGATGTTTTTATCTTGTAGCTGCTTGGCACTTTCAGAGTGAAATAGCTATTATCAATAGCATAAACATTTTTAATATTCACTTGATCAAAATTTTTTTTTTTTTTTTTTTTGATAAGTAAAATGTATAAAAAGTGCTCAAAAGAGGAGCATATCCCAAGGGAACTACACAAGGCCAAAAAGGGCCTCTAAACTTAATAGTCACTTGATCAATTAAATCCTGTAAAACAGACTAGTTTGGCCTCCTCCAACGCCCTTACATCATACCATAACTTGAATACACACACGTATACATATATGCCACAACCCATTAAAGAAGAGAAAATAAAGTTGCCATATGGTTCCAGAAGCAACAAATTATAAGGATCAAAAGGAATCTCATCATTTTTAGACAATAATATTTAATTTCATTAATTACTAAATTTTTTGTTAAGGGCCACTGGACACCTTGTGGGTAAAAGCAGATGGCTAGGAAAACAACAAATTGTCTGAGATGTGTGGCAGGCGAGAGAGGAATAAACTACCTGAACATCCTTATCGGTATTAGGGTGCCTCAGTTTGCTGGTTAGAAAATTTTTCTCTAATAGCACACCTGTGCCCCAAGTGTGACCTCCCTTGACCTCCTCCTTTGGTGGCGGCAGGTGGTATAACTCAAGCTAAAATCAGGTGTCCGTTGTCAGGCTGAGCATCAGTAATAGAATATGCTCTAAAATTTGAATGGATCTTCGACTCCACCGCCTCCCTCATGCTATTAAAGGTCAACACAGATAATTCAGCTTCAGTTATCCAGCTTACTTAAGAATCAGTGTGCTAGGTAGGTCCATTCAGAATTTTTGTTTCTTCTCTAGGCTAACCAAATTTGATATGCTTAGGCGAATGCACCCTAAAAAGAGCATTAATAACGAAGTCATGAAAAATCTGTCCATTAATGTCTTTATTTCAAAAGGATAAAAATATCACATAAAAGTTACCGAGGAAAAAATTATCAAGGAAAGTTATTACATAGATGGGAATATCTGTTGAAGGAAGTAGTACAAACCGGAATTTGGGTTGAAGTAGATTGCTTCCACATGCAACAAACTCCATGGGCTTGCCAGCCTCGAAACAAGTAGGATGAACATAGTGAAGCTTCGGTGGATTTCCCGCAACCTCAACCTTCATCACGGAAGTTTCATCTGCATTCATTAAAATGCTAAGATCACATTAGAAAGTATGAACAGTTTAGTAGTAAAACGAAGTAGCAACGCCGAGATTCCAAATGAATAAATTTGAACTTGACGAGGATCTTTCCAGTTCTCCAAGAAAGTGGGGCAAGGGGATTGATTGAGAAAGATCTCTTTTTCTCACCATAAGTTTGTGGACAGATCCCCGAGGAAGAGAGGAGGGGGGGGCGCGGTGGGTGGAACCAAAGAGGGAAAGTTTTCAGTTGAACACAACATAATTATATTGTCCTGCTCTCTCTTTGCGATGGAGTGGGGGAACCAATAATCTACCTGGAAAAAGGACCCAATCACTTTGAAAGAGTTAAATAAGGATCCACACGAGGCAAAAATATCATCGATGGTTCTCTAGAGTGAGTATGGTGGCTAATTAGTCATTTTTTTCTATTACCTCAATAATGCCCAACTGCTCTACAAAAAGAGGTCAAGTACAACTAACCTCCGCATTTGAATCAATTTCTCTTTGACAAGTATGGACAAAGTCTGATCATACCTTCTGGAAACTAAAAGACCACAACTATATGAGAAATAGCTATTAAAGACCCCTTTGTCCACAAATGATGAGAACTTTCCCCAAAAAATATTGTTCTTCTTACAGCTTTTCACAGATTACTAGTTTGCGCCTGCTAGCAACATTCTCCTCCTAACACTCCTCTCACGACAGAGCTTAATTTTGACACAAATTTGACCGACTGCAACTATAGCACCATGCGGCAGGTTTAATGCCAAACCATCAGCCTAGTTACACTCAAAAGACTTCAAGGAGGTGGTCTTAGTTTGGTTTACCACAAGAAAAGTGCTCCTACTTCAACCACTATCTCTTTAATCCTTCCAACATGATGTGCAATAACTAATAACCGACTACAACATCTCTTGCAATCAGCTTTGACACCCTCCATTAATTTTGCAAGTCTCACATTGTGGACATCCAATATGCGACCTGCTTTTTTTGTGTTAGATCTCATTCTCATGAGAGGGCAGACAAACCATTGAGGAGGAGGATCTTTGATCAATCAGGCTCTCTAGTTACTTTGAGGAGAATGAGAAGGGAGGTATAATTCCCACGGATTGGAATTCATCCGTTTGGAGAAAGAACAGTTAATCCTACATATATAAGATTAGACATTCCCTTGGAATGTCCATCCCATCCTACTTTGGCGTTGCAAATATGGTAACAGATTGACATGACTTTCCACAACCCATATAACCATAAGAATCTAACCCTAACGCGACGTTTGGTAAGAGAGAGGTAGGGAGGAAAGAGGGAAAACAGCAAGTATAAAGTATGCTTCCATTGTTTGGCAGAGACGCAAGGGAGAGGGAATGGATGGGAAGATGGATGACTCGTCCCTCTAAATCGATAAATTCACTTCCATCCAAAATCTTAGGGTTGCATCTCATACATCAATTATAAAGGTTACAAGGAAAATTTGATTTAGTAGGCATAATAGGTAAAAGAAGCCTGACAATGATATCAGGTCAGACAACTACAAGATGAAGGAATTGCAAAGGATTGTAACGTGTAAGAACACCAGATGCCAATCAAGTTGAAGGAGAATTTTTCTGATCACTTTAAAGCAATGACTATTCCTTCTTTTTTTTCTTTTATTATTATTTTTTCTATAGGC